GATAACATAATACGTCCCCGTCTTCGACGGGCGTATAAAAACCATTGCATAAACACTCATAGCTATAGAGCAGTATATGTACTCCGTTATATACTCTATACCCTCCAAATCTGGAGGCAGTGACATGACTTTCTGCCAAGTCTGTAGCATTAGACTACATGATTCACTACTGTGACCATTAAACATGCATGTTGCTGTCAATGTGTGAATAGAACTGACAAGTAATTAGACTTTTATTAGTATTTACCTGCAGATATCAAAAATGGAATGCCTGCGTATAGGTATCTGGTCACCTCTCCAAGCAACCTGCAACAAGCATTATACTGTGGACTAAAGAGTTCAGTATGAAACATGCTAGGCCCTTAACAAAATTTGGTTTTGAAAAATTATAAAAACAGCAACAGATAAAAAAAGCTTGAGATCAGAAATTAAATGTATATCTTCCCCCCTTAAGCTTAGATCTTTTACAAAGTGCTTACAGCATGCATTATAACCCCCTTCTAGTCATGACAAACACATCTGTGAAATTTCCTAACAAACTATATGGAAGCCTCCTCATGTCAAGGACTAGACAAGGTGTGAATGACTGCACATGTACAAAGTATATCCTTCACTTCAAAGGGAAGGAGGGAAGCTATGGTGAACTTACAGGCCTGTAGCTGACCATAACTACAGGGGCGGGGCTTCTATACTCACGTAGACCACACTTGGCTGTAGTGCTGACAACGTTAATACTGTTCCCACATCTGTATCATCCATAATAATCAGGGGTGCACCTCCATCTGCCCCATCAGAACGACATACTGAAGAAGGACAAGCAAACTTTTGTTCGTTTCTATCTACAAATTGTACCTAAAACTACTGCTCTTCATAAATTTTATCTTATTGATTAGGTGACATCGCCATGTTAATACAATAGCAGATTTATAACAACTTTTTTGAGATAATGAAATATTTCTTCATAATTTAAAAAAGTTTAAGCATGCATACTTTTCCTGACCCTTGACCCTACAAGGTGTGTCTCGCCGGCGTATTTCGTGCAATCCCTCGGGTAACCCCTTCTCAGACCAGACATTTCCCGGGATTCCAGCTCCCCAGTTGGACTGTTGTCCCAATGTACCAAGATCTTCTCTGTTAAAAAATAACCCATACACAATGAAATGAGGCACCATGATCAGTTCAGATTTATGGAAATCAGTTCAGATTTATGGTCATATGCCTAATTTGCATATATATGTCCCTAATATGTTCGAGTTATTCTCCCTAGAGAAAATTCTTTTCAAGGATCCTTGCCAAAAACTGTAACTACGCAATCGCATTGGAAACTGTCTTTTTTCTAGTATGACTTTAGCTTTAATAAATCACCTATGAAAAGAAAACCATACCTTTGGGGACTTTTATGAAAAAATACATAAAGATGAAATTAACAAAATATAATCAACAACAGTGTTCTTAGTTTAGAAGTTTAATAGGCCTGGACCAAGATTTAAACCCTGGACTTCAGATTGTTATATTATCGCACTAACCAACTGAGCTACCTATTTGACAGAAGTGTCCTGACCCAATAGTTCTAGTTCTAGTTATATCCAAAATGATATTAAGGGGAGGTCACTCTATATGCAAAATCATCATGCAGTGGAACAAGGATCCTTAATAAGCGTTGTTTTTAAAGATCTAGAATTACCTGAGCATTATCTACATCACTATTCTTCTGTGGAACTCTTTTCGGAAACAAAATGCATGTCCACTAATGCAGCATATACCCTTAATTTAAATATGTTTAAACATATTTTATTGATTGAATGATTCAAAAGGATCGGACAACAAGTCTCTACAACTTATAATATTAAACATAATATTTATGAACATAAGTTTTCTATAAATGTTGTGTCCTCTTAGAGTTGTGTATGTTCTGTCCAGCCGCAAATATTGTGAATTTGTCATTAATTGGCATCCACCAGACCGTTACAAATTCTATAACAATATGCTTTGATAAGGTAGCTATTAATTTAAATGTGACAACATTTTCATAGAACTTGAAACATTTCAATAATAGAAAAACATACTTTCTGGTAAATGGCCAATAACTGTGCCTGTCAGATCAGCATCTTGTTCTCCCTGTACTCGTTCACCCAAGGGGAATTCACTCCAAAGCTGTTCACCTGGCTCCCCTGTCTGCCGTACGAGTAACCTGATATTGTCTTCTTTTCTTTCATGAGCTTGCCTTTTTGCAATTATCCTTTGAACACTTTCCTGAAATATTGGTGAGAAATATTGAAGACTACTACAGGATCAGCTTTGTGCAGTGTTTCTACAATATCATTTTTGCAGAGTAGTTCTGTAAGGGACCCTCTGCAGCAATTAAACTGTTTTCAGTAAAGTACTTGTTTATAGATTATTCCTACTGCAACACAAGTCAAAACACAACTCAGTGGTTACGTTTTTATTATCTTCATTGTTTTAATTTGTGCAATGTAAAATATGAAAATATTCACCAATCTCAATAACGAACTGTTATTCATCTAGTAACCAAATTGTATAATTATGTTAGTTAGTTGGCAACAGTAATTTTACTGGTTTTGTTTAACTTCGTAAGGTTTTCAGAACTAACCATGTCTTCTGGGTCATCCCCAGTGTAAGACTTCATCATCAGCTGGAAGTCTTCTTCAGACAAATGTCCCCAGTCGGTCGCCATCCTTTCCAGTATGTTACAAGCTATGATCTGTTACAGACAGGGGAACAGGAAGATGAACCACTTCATTAAACATTATACCTAATCTATATGAATGCACAGCTGCAATATAAATGACACCTTCCATTACAGTAAATATTCGGGTATTGTGCACATTCGTGAATAATGCGCAGGTACTTTTTTGGGAGAACAAATTCAAAAAAATATATTGATCAGACATTAGAAATTAAGCAAGAGATCCAGAGATCTTGGTGCCCACCTTTGTACCATCTTCATTAGTTATATGTCAGTTTGATCCTTTCTCTTCTTTTCTCTTATCTGTTTGGCTGAGTCATGCATACACTAAATGCACATTGAGGTAACTTTTTATTTAAACTTCATACTGTCGTGTAAACAAGACAACCTTTAATGTGAGTTTGTCGTTTCATATATTTACTAGCACAGAACTTAAGGTGAAAGAAATAGAACTGATCACTGCAACATGAGAAAGATCTGTTAAATTCATCCTGCAGCCATCTTGTTTACGATCACTCTCGTAAAATAAAACATGCACAGCTAAGGATCAAGCGAAACCTATATATAAAATCTGAGAAAGATCTCTCAAGTTCTTTCCTCCTGAGAATAAGCAATAACATTAAACTTTAACTGTCAAAATTAAAGATGGCCTGCACCTGTCGACTATTTTGTTTATTCCAGCAGTCACACATGTCAAGTAAACATGCACAATGAATGGCCAAGGGGAACCTACAAATCAAATTTGAGAAAGATCTATCCAGTACTTTCTGAGATATAGCGATAACAAACAAGAGATCCCAGAGGGATCTTGGCGCCCACCTTTGTAC